TTTTTTTGCTTACATACTTGCCTGGTCAATACCAAAATCACCTTATTCCAATAAGTGTAGAACGTCGACTAGATGTCAGACTATAAACGACGGATGAGTAAACAGTGTAGCATATTGTTTCATTCAATGATTCAACAAAATGCCATTGATCATGGTAAAAGAAGCTTACTTACTTGCATGTCATTACGATTATGTGACCCGAACTTTGAAGTGAAATTTTTGCCTAGCGTCATAGGGAACATAAACTCCCCACTACCAGTAGATGAATTGAAAAGTTGATCACATTCTAAAAGTATTGATTCCACACCTAACTTTCTGTCGACATATGTCCCAGTGGTTGGGTCAAAGAAAAAAGGAAAAAAGAAGTTGAAAAACGCGAAAAAGTTTGATTGGAATAAAACCCGGAAAAAACTGCCGCTTTTAAAGAAGAAAAAAGAGAAAAAAACAACCAAAAAATTTGTTGTAACTTTTTTAAAACATAAATATGACTGCTTACTCTTTGTACTGAACAACACCTTTCAACCAAAATGCCATTATAAGGACAAGAAGGCAACCAATTACAAAGGTGAATAAAAGTGCAAATATGATATCGCAGTCTAAACTCCTGCAAAATGAGCAATCTTCTTTCACTTCGTCGGCTTTCTCGAATTCGAGCATATCGATACGAGTCTCGACAACCCTTTCGAGCGTCCGCATTTGCTCCATTCAAAATATCCAGTTTTGTCAGCGATATTCAGGCACCAGTACAGGAATAAATTCAGCAAAAAAAAAAAATTTGTCGTCAAAAACAAACTATCATTTACCAAGCAGCTACATCTGAGAAGTTCGTCTCTACTGAATACCACTGGTTGACGGAGTAAAGACTTGGCAGTATAATTCAGTATTATAAACTGCACACTAAAACTACCTTTCTAAGGTTGGTGACAAATATTGTAGGATATCATCTCCTTTTTTTTTTTTTTTTCTAAAAAAACTAATGCTGCCTTTTTTTAAAAATTTAAGTAGCAAATAGCAGCAATATATGACATAAACGAAAAGGTTAAAAAGTTTTAAACAAAAAAAAAAAAAAAGAAGAAGCAAAACAAAACAAAACTAAACAAAAGAAGAAAAATTATCAATATTTTTGACGAAATATATTATATATAGAAATTTATAAATATTTAAATCAATGTATATATTTTTTGTCTTCTTTTATATCGTTACTAAATTGAAAAATAAAAAAAAATCAAATAAAAAATTATGTACCTACAACTGAAAAAAAAAACAACTAAAATTCAGAAATTTTATATTATCAAAAAGTTTAAAAATGTAAAGAAAGAACACAATCGAATGAAACCAAAATCATACTCCTATTCCCACCCGAAAAATAAAAAGTAGGAGATAATCAAAGAGAAAAAACTTGTCCAATTTTTTTTTTTTGATATTTTCAGCAAAACTAAATTTATGCTAAAAACTTTAACTCCATATAGATGCCAAAATATTTTTCAAACAATTTTTTCTTCTTTTATTCAAAAACCTATTGATAAAAAAATTACAGAACAGCAAAGAACCATTAACGTTTTATTTTCACAATTTATTCAGTTGATTACTTTTAAAAAAATGTTGATTTTTGTAAAAAAGGATAATT